TTTTACCAATATTATTTCAAAATGTTCACGTATAGTTGTTTTTTGTTTTATTAAAAAATATAATGATGAGTACAGTTAATAATTATTATTTTGCATTTTTGTCACATTTTATTTTACTGGGTTTTTAACTCGTTTTTCAAGTTTTTGTTTTAATCGTCATGTATAGTTTTGACATATGTTTCTTTTACAGATTTAATTGATTAAACAATGGGGATTGGACTGATTATATCAATTTCCTTGCTTCTAACAGGTAAGCTAAGTGATGCTAATCTTACTAGTGATATAAAATAAATGAACTGCTTTAGCATAGCTATATGTAATGTCATAAATAATTGCTATAGAAAATATGTAGACTGTATTAATGATGAATGCTATAATACTTTAATGGTTATGCACATATTAACTTGAGTGAAGTAAATCTAGGTGAGTTGTACCTAATGATGCAAGAAGCCAAATTTCTATATATTTTTTTTAATTTCTACAAAAAGTGGGTTTGAGCAACTTTGAGTTTGGCTGAGATGAGGAAATTTTGCATACGTGGGGATAGTTTTGCTTCTGTCTGTCTCTTTCCTTCTTGAGGCTGAAGCATTTGGTTTTCCTCATACTCAGTGTCAAAGCACACATAGATCATTCCCTTTAAAATCACTCATTTCTAAAAAAGGTTGAAAGGTTTCCACTTAACCCCCTCACTTTTTTTTTATATCTTTAACATATTAAATGAAGCCATGCAAAAGATTACCTTCATACTTTAAAACTATCTGGAACTTAAAATGCAAGGACTAGGCTGATATTGCACACTTTTCAATAAATCTTATTTTTGTCCAATGTTTTTGACCCCTCATAACATTACACTATAGGATAGTCTTGTGACTTTTTCAATGCTGAGAAAATCTATTTGGGCTCTGTTAATTACTGAAATCAATTTAAATTTAAAAATTAAACAGGGAATTTAAATTTAAAGTGCACTGTGCAGAAGAAGCTGAAACTTGTGCTGAAAAAATGTGAAAATGCTGAATGTTCAGCAAAAAAGAGATAAGGAACCTGAAAATTGTGCTGAAAAGAGGTGAAAAAGCTGGATTCTTCAGCTGAGGAATCCAGCTTATGACAACATTTTCTTCAGCTGAAGAAGCTGGAATTTGTGCTGAAAAGAGTTTAAACAGTTCAACCGTTAACTGAAATTTTTTTGTCATGAGCGGGATTCGAAACCTGGCCTCCTGCTCTGAGAACGACTGCTCAGTTTCAGTTTTCAGTTTTATTTGTCATATGCAAGTTAGCACAGGGTCAACATTGCAATGAAATGTGTTTGATGAGCAGCAGTCACTCAGCAGCATGATACAGTAGGAGAAAATATAATAAAATAAAATAAAATAATAAAGAAAATAGAAAAATAGTAAGGAGCAAAATATTAGAGAGACATGGAAAACGAGAAAAGATGACTAAATATATATGTATCTATAAATATAAATATATGTACACTAGTGATTAAATAAGAAAATCTTGAAAAGAAATATGACGGGAGGGCAGATGGGATATTGAGAGCACACTACTCATTTTAGCTCATCTCACTGAGCTAAAACATGGCTCAGCCTGGCAAGCAAAACTGGTGATCACAAAAAGTTATATTTTTCAGCTACTCATCTCACTGAGCCAAACTGGTTCTCAAGTAACTGAAAGAAACTAAAAGAGGTGAAGAAACTGAAATTTGTGCAGAATAGAGTTGAAAAGATAAGGAACCTGAAAATTGTGCTGAAAAGAGGTGAAAAAGCTGAAATTCTTATGAAAGAGCAGAAGAAGCTGAAATTGTTCAGCTACTCATTGAGGCAAACTGGTACTCACGTAACTGCAAAAAGGTGAAAAAACAATTTTCTAATAACAGCAGAAGAGGCTGAGATTTGTGCTGATAAGAGGTGAAAACGCTGAACTTTCTGCTGAAAAGAGGCAGAACAACCTGCTTCTGCTCAATTTCAGTCCACCAATCAGAGGTACTGCTTCTGTCTGCTTCATCAGGCTGTGTACTTGCCATGGAGCGTTAACAAGAATCTGAGGTCCATATTAGAAAAGCTGCTAAAATCATAAAATTTTCAGCATTGTAATAAATTAGCACTATAGATCACTGGTCTGTGATAGTGTAGTAATTTGTAATGGAAAAAAATAAGTTGGACAAGGTGGAATCTGAAGATCTGTTTCATTACCAAAGGCTCCACTGGCAGGAGCGAGGGCCGCCTGGAAAACAGGGTGATGAGCAGTCAGAATTAGATTGTGGCGAGAGGCGAAAAACGCAGATTTTTGGAGTTACAAAACGTCGCGTAACTCAAAAGTCAGTCAGTCATGTCTCAGTGTCAAGTCTGCGTCTTAGTCTGTCTCATGTTTCCTGTTTAATTTTGATAGATCCTCATATAGTTTATGCCAGTTAACTGTTTTTTCTTAGTGTTTTGTGTTTTAGCTTTTTCCAGTTTAGTTTTGTTAGTTTATTTTAGTCTCGCTTCACCTTTTGTTTTTGTGTTTTGTTCAATACAAAATAAAGGCCCATTTTTTTGGTTAATATTTCACTCTATCTGCATTTGGGTCCGCACACTCTCCGTTCCACGTCATCTGCCTCAGTAGACTTGCCATTTACTGTTTGTTATAGGTTTGCTCAGCCCAAATAAAACAGCTCTTTTTCAGTTTGGGTTAGGCTAGGTTAAATGAAATTTGTTTCAACGCTTCGTTTTGTCTGCGTTTGGGTCCACTATTCCACCAGGTCTGCAGACCTGACAACAAAGTGGAGCCAGTAAGAATTACTACGTAATCAATAAATGATCATGATAATGGGATCGAAATGGCAAAATTCTTATCAATTCCTGTCCATATTGGTGTTGGGTTCATTAATTTAAAAAGAGTAATGTGTTAAATATATTACACAGAACGTTTTACTTAAAAGCATACTTTAAGTACTAAATTTATTAAGTACTTACGCAACATACTTAATGCAGTACATCACTTAATTACTCCAAGGAGGAAGTATTTTGTTGCACTACTTGTTAGGATGCCTGGGTCGTTGACCCAGGGTTTTTGAGTTTATTATATTATTTATAATTTCTAGTCTTTGGTTTCTTTGAGTTCTGTCTTATGGTTTATGTCTCTGTCTTCTCTAGTTGCTCTGTCTCCCCTGTCAGCTGTATCCCCTTGTCTAGTTCACGTCTCTGCGTATCCTTAGTTGCTATATCCCCGCGTCCAGTCTGTGTCTGCCCTGGTCCCACGTCTCTGTTCCCTCTGTTGTAGTGCCTGCATGTGAGTCTGTGTCTTTTGTTCAGTCTGTGTTATGGGTTTCCTGTTTTACTTTGAAAGTCCATGTCTGATGTTAATGCGTCTGGTTTTGCTTCCCCTTGTCTCGTTAGGCCTGATTTGCCCCAGCTGTGTTTCCCTCCTGTTACCCATTCCCTGATTGCTTCCTCTGTGTATTTAAGCCCTGTGTTTCTCTGTGTCTGTGTCGTGATCTACCGTTTATTTTGCTGTGTGTTTTGGCAGTCCACTGGTGTTAGTTTATTTTGAGTTTTTCCAGTTATGTTATGTTTGAGTTCAGCATTAAAGCTATTTAAGTTTGTCTCTGGAGTCTGCACCTTGGGTCCTATTCCTGTCCGCACACAGCTGACACAAAACACTACTCTTTACATTACTTTTGAGTTTCTCTGCATAATGACCTGAAACATATGTTGTAAGATAACATTTAACAATATAAACCTATAGGCTCTATTCCCACACACCAACCAAATCACTATCCCAATGAGAACATATATGATATATCATTTATGTATAAATGCAAAGCAAAAATAAAAACCAGCACAAAGAGTGGCAATTAGCACAGTGATTATACTGAAAAGACATGAACAGATATGAAGGATCCAGCCTGACTGCTCATGGATGCTTTTGTTGGGGATAAAGTATCTGAATTTCAGGAGCGGGCCCATGCCTCCAAACACGCTCTTTCCAGTTTTTATCTATGTATGATTCCCCAGTTCTAAAAGCAGTTTGTTCTCATTTTAGTGCCCCACCCTCCCTCCCCTTTTGTAATGCTTTTGTCACAGTGTACAAGGTGGACTCACATGCTGGACTCCGGGGATTGATGCACACAAGAGAATTTATAAACGTACAATGTCCAACAAGTATATATACAAATGGTGCGGGGCAGTGCTACAGACAAAAGGTGAGCGGGGCAGGGCTCCAGGAGAAATCCAGGGGAACACTCTCATTTCTCTCCAAACAATCCACACACGAGCTCACGTCTTTCTCCAAGCAATCCACAAACTAATCCAATCTCTCTCCTCGAACACTCGCCGCTCAGGGAACACTAGGGAAAACAGTCCAGAGGGTCTGCGCACAAAGAAACGCTTGTTAGTTTCTAACACACAACTATACGGAAAAACACTGGCTAGACGCTCGACTTTCACTGACGCGATTCACACAACGATCCAGCGAAGAACAGCCGTTGATTCCTGGCTTAAATGCTAGCCACACTAATGAGGCACCGGTGTTTCTTCCTCCGAGGGTGTGGGCCAAGGGCGTGAACCTGTAATCAGTTCCTCCCTGGCGAGAGAGAGATAGAGAGAGAAACAGCTGATCAGCGACCAGCTGAACCTCCAGGCCGTTACAGCTTTCACTTCTTCACTTCTCATTAATACATGGGGATCAATCCCCTCCTAGGCTTTCCCCAAACTGAAGCTCAATTTGTGTCTAAGCCATTCAACTTTGTCTACTAAAATCACCATCAAACTAAAAATGTTCTATTGTATAAATTATATTGATGTTTTCAGGTAAGGGTGAAAATTGTTCTAAAAACAGATGTTGGAATGAATTCATGGCATTTTTGCATTAGGAAGTTATAGTACATTAAGGATTCATTTGGGAATGGTAACTCAGAGTAATTTGATGAAAAAGGAATTTAAAAATTGTACTTAATAAATACATACATTCATATTTAAGAGTATGTGAACTTATCTCCTACAGCTACGGGGACAGGAGCAATGACGAGCACGCCACCTCCAACAACAACCACCACTGCTTCACCGACCACCACCACCACGTCACCTCCCACAACAACCACCACTGCCCCAACGACCACCACCACAATGGCTCCTCCTACAACAACCACCCCTGCCCCAACGACCACTACCACGGCTCCTCCCACAACAACCACGACTGCCCCAACGACCACTACCACGGCTCCTCCCACAACAACCACGACTGCCCCACCGACAACAACAGCCACGGCTCCTCCGACAACAGTCACCATTGCCCCACCGACTAGCACCACTACGATTCCTCCAACAACCACCAATGCTATTACAACAACAACCACTGCCCCAACGACCACCACCACCGCGGTTCCTCCCACAACAACCACCACTGCCCCACCGATGACCACCACGGCTCCTCCGACAACAAACACGGCTGCCCCACCGACAACAACCTACACGGCTCCTCCTACAACAGCCACCACTAACCCACCGACCACCACCACTACGATTCCTCCAACAACCACCACAGCTATTACAACAATCACCACTGGGCCACCGACCACAACTACCACGGCTCCTCCCACAACAAGCACCACTACCCCACCGACCACCACCACGGCTCCTCCCACAACAACTACCACTGCCCCACCGACAAAAACTACAACGGTCCCTCCCACAACAACCACCACTGCCCAACCGACAACCACCACCACGGCTCCTCCGACAACAACCACCACTGCCTCACAGACCACCACCACCACCACGGCTCCTACCACAACAACCACCACTGCCCCACCGACCACCACCAACGCTCCTCCCACAACAACCACCACTACCCACCGACCACCACCACGGCTCGTCCCACAACAACCATCACTGCCCCACCGACCACCACCACGGCTCCTCCGACGACAACAAGCACCACTGCCCAACAGACCACCACTACCACGGGTCCTCCGACGACAACCACCAGTGCCCCACCGACCACCACCACCACGGCTCCTCCGACAACAACCACCACTGCCCCACCGACAACAACCTCCACGAGTCCTCCGACACCAACCACCACTACCCAACCGACCACCACCACGGGTCCTCCAACGACAACCACCACTGCCCCACCAACCATGGCTCCTCCCACAACAACCACAACTGCCCCACCGACAACAACCTCCACGGCTCCCCCGACAACAACCACCACTGCCCCACCGACAAAAACTACAACGGTCCCTCCCACAACAACCACCACTGCCCAACCGACAACCACCACCACGGCTCCTCCGACAACAACCACCACTGCCTCACAGACCACCACCACCACCACGGCTCCTACCACAACAACCACCACTGCCCCACCGACCACCACCAACGCTCCTCCCACAACAACCACCACTACCCCACCGACCACCACCACGGCTCGTCCCACAACAACCATCACTGCCCCACCGACCACCACCACGGCTCCTCCGACGACAACAAGCACCACTGCCCAACAGACCACCACTACCACGGGTCCTCCGACGACAACCACCAGTGCCCCACCGACCACCACCACCACGGCTCCTCCGACAACAACCACCACTGCCCCACCGACAACAACCTCCACGAGTCCTCCGACACCAACCACCACTACCCAACCGACCACCACCACGGGTCCTCCAACGACAACCACCACTGCCCCACCAACCATGGCTCCTCCCACAACAACCACAACTGCCCAACCGACAACAACCTCCACGGCTCCCCCGACAACAACCACCACTGCCCAACCGACCACCACCACGGCTCCTCTGACAACAATCACCACTGCGCCACCGAGCACCACTTCCACGGATCCTCCGACAACAACTAGCACTGCCCCACCGACAACCACCACTACGATTCCTCCAACAACCACCACAACTATGACAACAACCACAAATGCCCCAGCAACAACCACCATGGCTCCTCCCACAACAACCACCACTGCCCCACCGACCACCGCCACGGTTCCTCCCACAATAACCCCAACTGCCCCACCGACCACCACCACGGCTTCTCCCACAACAACCACCACAGCCCCACCGACCACCACCACGGCTCCTCCGACAACAACCACCACTGCCCCACCGACAACCACCACCACGGCTCCTCCGACAACGACAACCACTGCCCCACCGACCACCACCACGGCTCCTCCCACAACAACCACCACTTCCCCAACGACCACCGCCACGGCTCCTCCCACAACAACCACCACTGCCCCACGGACCACCGCCACGGCTCCTCCCACAACAACCACGGCTGCCCCACCGACAACAACCTCCACGGCTCCTCCAACAACAACCACCACTACCCCACCGACCACCACCACTACGATTCCTCCAACAACCACCACAGCTATTACAACAACCAGCACTGCCCAACCGACCACCACCACGGCTACTCCCACAACAACCACCACTGCCCCACCGACAACCACCACCACGGCTCCTCCGACAACAACAACCACCGCCCCACCGACTACAACCACTACGATTCCTCCAACAACCACCACAACTATGACAACAACTACCACTGCCCCTCCGACAACCACCACGGCTCCTCCCACAACAACCACCATTCCGCCACCGACAATTACCACCACGGTTCCTCCCACAGCAACCACCACTGCCCCACCGACAACATCCACCACTGCTCCACCGACCACCACTACCACGGCTCCTCCGACGACAACCACCAGTGCCCCACCGACCACCTCTACCACGGCTCCGACGACAACAACTACCACTGCCCCACCGACAACCACCACCACGGCCCCTCCCACAACAACCACCACTGCCCCACCAACCACGGCTCCTCCCACAACAACCACAACTGCCCCACCGACAACAACCTCCACGGCTCCTCCCACAACAACTACCACTGCCCCACCGACCACCACTACCACGGGTCCTCCCACAACAACCACCACTCCCCCACCGACCACCGCCATGGATCCTCCCACAACAATCACCACTGGGCCACCGACCACCACTACCACGGCTCCTCCGACAACAACCACAACGGTTCCTCCCACAACAACCACCACTGCCCCACCGACCACCACTACCACGGGTCCTCCCACAACAACCACCACTGCCCCACCGACCACCGCCATGGATCCTCCCACAACATCCACCACTGCTCCACCGACCACAACTACCACGTCTCCTCCGACGACAACCACCAGAGCCCCTCCGACCACCACCAACACGGCTCCGACGACAACAACTACCACTGCCCCACCGACAACCACCATCACGGCCCCTCCCACAACAACCACCACTGCCCCACCAACCACCATGGCTCCTCCCACAACAACCACAACTGCCCCACCGACAACAACCTCCACGGCTCCTCCGACGACAACCACCACTGCCCCACCAGCCACCACCACGTCTCCTCCCACAACAACCACCACTGCCCCACCGACCACCACCACGGGTCCTCCCACAACAACCACCACTGCCCCACTGACAACCACTACCACGGGTCCTCCCACGACAACCACCACTGCCCCACCGACCACCACTACCACTGCTCCTCCGACGACAACCACCACTGCCCCACCGACCACAACCACGGCTCCTCCGACAACAACCACCACTGCCCAACCGACCACAACCACGGCTCCTCCCACAACAAGCACCACTGCCCCACCCACAACCACAACGGCTCACCAGACAACAACCACCACTGCCCCACTGACCACCACCACTACGATTCCTCCAACAACAACCACAGCTATGACAACAACCACCACTGCCCCACCGACAACCACCATCACGGCTCCTCCAACAACAACCACCACTGCCTCACCGACCACCACCACAACCACGGCTCCTCCCGCAACAACCACCACTGCCCCACCGACCACCACCACGGCTCCTCCCACAACAACCACCACTGCCTCACCGATCACCACCACTACCACGGCCCCACTGACTACAACCACTACGATTCCTCCAACAACCACCACAACTATGACAACAACCACCACTGCCCCACCGACCACAACCACGGCTCCTCCCGCAACAACCACCACTGCCCCACCGACCACCACCACGGCTCCTCCCACAACAACCACCACTGCCCCACCGACAACATCCACCACTGCTCCACCGACCACCACCACCACGGCTCCTCCAACAACAACCACCACTGCCCCACCGACCACCACCACGTCTCTTCCCACAACAACCACCACTGCCCCACCGACCACCACCACGGGTCCTCCCACGACAACCACCACTGCCCCACCGACAACCACTACCACGGGTCCTCCCACGACAACCACCACTGCCCCACCGACCATCACTACCACGGCTCCTCCCACAACAAGCACCACTGCCCCACCGACCACCACCACCATGGCTCCTCCGACAACAACCACCACTGCCCCACCGACCACCACCACTACAATTCCTCCAACAACAACCACAGCTATGACAACAACCACCACTGCCCCACCGACAACCACCATCACGGCTCCTCCAACAACAACCACCACTGCCTCACCGATCACCACCACTACCACTGCCCCACTGACTACAACCACTACGATTCCTCCAACAACCACCACAACTATGACAACAACCACCACTGCCCCACCGACCACAACCACGGCTCCTCCCGCAACAACCACCACTTCCCCACCGACCACAACCACGGCTCCTCCCACAACAATCACCACTCCACCACCAACCACAACTTCCACGGCTCCTCTTACAACAACCACCACAGCCCCACAAACAACCACCACCACGGGTCCTCGCACAACAACTACCACTTACCCACCGACAACAACAACCACGGCTCCTCCGACAACAACCACCACTGCCCCACCAACAACCACCACAAACACGTCTCCTCCCACAACAACCACCATTCCCCCACCGACCACCACCACCACGGCTTCTCCAACAACAACCACCACTTCCCCACTGACCACCACCACTACGACTCCTCCAACAACAACCAAAGCTATGACAACAATAACCACTGCGCCACCGACCACCACTACCACGGCTCCTCCGACAACAACCACCACTGCCCCACCGACCACCACCACAACAGCTTCCCCGACAACAACCACCACTGCCCCACCGACCACCACGGCTCCTCCCACAACAACCACCACTGCCCCACCGACCACCACGGCTCCTCCGACAACAACCACCACTTCCCCACTGATCACCACCACTACGATTCCTCCAACAACAACCAAAGCTATGACAACAATAACCACTGCGCCACCGACCACCACTACCATGGCTCCTCCCACAACAACCACCACTGCCCCACCAACCACCACAACAGTTCCCGCGACAACAACCACCACTGCCCCACCGATCACCATCACGGCTCCCCCGACAACAACCACCACTGCCCCACCGACCACAACCACCACCACTGCCCCACCGACAACCACCACTGCCCCACCGACCACCACCATCACGGCTCCTCCAACAACAACCACCACTGCCTCACCGATCACCACCACTACCACGGCCCCACTGACTACAACCACTACGATTCCTCCAACAACCACCACAACTATGACAACAACCACCACTGCCCCACCGACCAAAACCACGGGTCCTCCCACACCAACCACCACTGCCCCACCGACCCCAACCACGGGTCCTCCCACACCATCCACCACTGCCCCACCGACCACAACCACGGGTCCTCCGACACCAACCACCACTGCCCCACCAACCACCACCACTACAATTCCTCAAACAATCAGCACAGCTATGACAACAACCACCACTGCCCCACCGACCACCACCACAGTTCCTACCCCAACAACCACGACTGCCCCACCGACCACCACCACGGTTCCTACCACAACTACCAACACTGTCCCACCGACCACCACCTCAACAGCTCCCCTGACAACAACCACCACTGCCCCACCGACAACCACCACCACGGCTCCTCTGACAACAACCACCACTGCCCCACCGACAACCACCACTACGATTCTTCCAACAACCGCCACAGCTATTACAGCAACCACCACTGCCCCACCGACAACCACCACCACCACAGCTCCTCCGACAACAATTACCACAGCCCCACAAACAACCACCACCACGGCTCCTCTCACAACAACCACCACTTACCCACCGACAACAACAACCACAGCTCCTCCGACAACAACCACCACTGCCCCACCAACAACCACCACCACCACAGCTCCTCCGACAACAATTACCACTGCCCCACAAACAACCTCTACCACGGCTCCTCTCACAACAACCACCACTTACCCACCGACAACAACAACCACGGCTCCTCCAACAACAACCACCACTGCCCCACCAACAACCACCACAAACACGGCTCCTCCCACAACAACCACCACTGCCTCACCGACCACCACCACAGCCCCACCGACCACCACCACCACGGCTTCTCCAACAACAACCACCACCTCCCCACTGACCACCACCACTACGATTCCTCCAACAACAACCAAAGCTATGACAACAATAACCACTGCGCCACCGAACACCACCACAACAGCTTCCCCGACAACAACCACCACTGCCCCACCGACCACCACCACGGTTCCTACCACAACAACCACCACTTCCCCACCGACCACCACCACGGCTCCTCCGACAACAACCACCACTGCCCCACCAACCACCACCACCACGGCTTCTCCAACAACAGCCACCACTGCCCCACCGACCACCACCACCACAGCTTCTCCGACAACTACCAACACTGTCCCACCGACCACCACCTCAACAACTCCCCTGACAACAACCACCACTACCCCACCGACCTCCACCACTACGATTCTTCCAACAATCGCCACAGCTATTACAACAACCACCACTGCCCCACCGACCACCACTACCACGGCTCCTCCGACAACAACAATTACCACTGCCCCACCGACCACCACCACCACGGCTCCTCTGACAACAACAATTACCACTGCCCCACCGACCACCACCACAACAGCTCCCCCGAGAGCAACCACCACTGCCCCACCGACGACCACCACGGCTCATCCCACAACAACAACCACGGCTACTCTGACAACAACAACCACCAGATATGTTGTTTTCAGATCCCTTCAAAGCAATTTTACCAAGGACTTGTCGAATTCATCATCTGATGCTTTTAAAGACCGATCTGTATCTATAAAGACACAGGTAATCGTTTACTTTTCCCACTAATATATAGCATTTATTAGGTATGTAATTAGTTTTTTCCATCGTTCGAGGCAAATCTGCTCCCCTCTTTGTGGAAAGCAGAATGAATGCTGTGTGCTCTGTAAACAGAATAGACATTAAAACACCAAATACTCAGTGAAATAAATGTTTAAAAAATGAATTGCAGATTGCTGATCTAGAGAGAGAGGTGAAAACATTAGACATCAGGAATATACAAAATTGATAGAGCAAGTACTTTTTTTTTGTACTGAACCATCATTGCTACTCACTATAGAGGTCATGTTCTTTGATTTGCCCTTTAATTAGTCTTCTGTCTTACTGTAAAGTTTACAATTGATATAAAATTCGTCTGTTTGTGTACATTAAGAAACAGATAGACATTGTTTTAAGGAAATCTGCTTTGTGTCTGCAGATTGAACCTGCTTACAAAAACTCGTTCCCTTCCTCCTTTGTCTCCTTGGCCGTTGTGAGCTTCAGGTAATTTCACTATTTTGACATATAATGTTAAGAGCAGTGACCTAACGCCCTAAATATTCAAAACTATCATTTTTGTGTCTGCATTTACAGGCAAGGATCAGTCATCAACACCATAGAACTTCATTTTTTAAACTCATCTGTTCCAAATGACACTGAAATTAGAAGTGTTTTGATCAGTCAAGCCTCAAACGTGACAGGCTTTGACATCGAAAGGGCCTCCATCACTGTCAGTTCCACATGTGAGTACTATTTCGTTATGTTTGATCAAAAAGTCTCAAAGGTTTTAGAGGGACTTAGTTAAATGTTTTATGTCCATTTTGTCCTCATTTTAAATCTACCACAGTGATCCCAACAACTACCACAGTTACCCCAACAACAAACACAACACCATCAACTACATCTGCTGCAACAAAACCAACATCTGCTCCAACAACTACCACAGTTACCCCAATAACAAACACAACACCATCAACTACATCTGCTGCAACAAAACCAACATCTGCTCCAACAACTACCACAGTTACCCCAATAACAAACACAACACCATCAACTACTACATCAGCTGCAACAACAACAACATCTTCTCCAACAACTACCACAACTACAAAAGCTCCGACTGCACCTGTCCAAGTTTTTCTGTTTCTACAGTTCCTTGAACCATATGTACCTGAACTCACAGACCCCACCAGCAGTGTATATCAAGATCGCAAAAGACGAGTTGAAGAGACGGTGAGTAATATTTCAACTTAATATATCTTTTATTGACTGACACTTTATCTAGAGAACAAATCTGAAAGCATACATTTTCTTTCATTTAAATAGGCATTTTTAGACAATGTAATTTTTAAGTTGTTTCACCATGTTTAAATTTTCTTTTTGTGTTAATTTTTTGCAGTGTGATAGAATCTACAAACCAAAATTTCCTTTCTTCATCCGTGCCATTGTCATTCGGTTCAGGTAAAAAAAAATTTTTTAACAGTAATTAAGTTACTTTCCTCTAAATTATTATTTTTAATTTAATTTTAATGTTAAATGTATCATGTAACATAGTTAAACCATTCAATAATCTGCCATTATTATCTAACATCTGACTCACTTTCTTTCATGGCAGTCTTGTTAGAGTCCAAACACGAGTGGATAGAACTGAGGCAGAGGTGGAGCTTGTGTTCAATCAAACAGCACCCAATGCACAAGTCCCAAATGATACTACTATTGTTCAAATTTTGAAACAGGCTATTAACAGTTCCAGCAGCAATTTCAGCATTGCCATAGTTCCTGACACAATATCAGTAACTTCTGGTGAGTATTTGAAAATGCAAACGAAATTTATTTTGGAGTTAATCAAGGACAAAGAAATTATTTTAGTCTGTACATAAATACATATTAATCTACTTCTGAAAAATATTTTATAGTTCCCATCAATGTCACGACTGTTGCACCAACTACTGCCAATTCCACTACTGCTGCACCTACAGCTTCCACAACTACAACTGCATTATCTACAACTACAGCTTCAAGTGGAGCATGCCACAAGATCAATCCCAGCACTGTTTCCCCCCTGGTTCTCTTGTTATGGCTTCTGTCAAACTAGCAATAGCATCTGTGCTGGTTTCCATGTCAATGGCCAGCGGAACACAAACTCTTTCACTGAAATGTATTAAAAAAAGAAAAGAAAATAATGACATTAGAAACCCAAGCCATGTGATTATCTAGAATGAATCTGGCCTGAAAAGAATGACACAGACTTTAACCACCCAGTTAATTTAATCATCTACAGCAAATCTGACCTAAGAATGCATGAACAAAAGCTTTAAATATATCCTGTGGGTGGGCCTGTAGTGTAGAGGCTTAGAACTTTACGCAGTTGAGCTCATTATATAGTGCCAAGCTACAACAATAGTCACATCAAGGTGCTTTATGTTATAATGTTAAGGTACTTTTATTGTAAGGATCCTACAATAATACAGAGAAAACACTGGCCTGTTTAGGTCCAGGTCACTTGCTTGTAAGTGTGTCTCTGCCTTCATGTCTGTTAACTGTTCTTTTTCGTACTGGGGAAAAAAGGTCAAAATGCACAAAGTTTTTAAATTTTTAAGAAAATTATCCACAACTCATCCATTATTTTCTAAATCACTGTAAAGCTGGGTTTATATACACACACACGCGCACGCACACACGCGTGCGCACACACACACACGTGTATGTATGTATGTGTATGTATATATATATATATATATATATATATATATGAAATACACAGTATATATCACATATTAGATGTAAGAGTGTAAAAAGTAGTAGGTGTCCCATAAAAGCACAGTCACTTTTCTTATTTATACAAAGTGTATTTTTATAATTTTCCATTTCTGTATTCTGCGAGATTTCTTTTCTTTTTTTTTTTTCTTCTTTTTTTTTTTACACATTTTCTGTAAGAAAAATCATAATGAACAGAATACAAAATTTATGAGAAATGAAAACAGTCTCCTGTGACGTCTAACGGTTTGGGTGGGTAAAGAGAAAGTTGATCAAGAAACTTTGAGGTCAGGAGCTTTAATTAAAAAAAGGCAAGGTTTGCAGATTGGTCTCTCAATTAAATTAAATTAAATTAAATTTCAATTCCGTTTTATTCATGTATCGCCAAGTCACAACAGTAGTTTCCTCAAGGCACTTTATATTGTAAGGTAAAACCCCTACAATAATACAAAGAAAACAGAGAAAATCCCAGATTTCACATGAGCCCCTATGAGCAAGTGTTTTCCCGACAGTGGGAAGGAAAAACTCCTTTTTAACAAGAACCTCCAGCAGTAAGAGGCTCAGCAAGCAGCGGTCATCTGCCATGATCTGTTGGGGTGACTGGAGGGAGAAAGAACAACAAGGTGCTGTAGAAGAGAGCCAGAGATAATAGTAACTTGTAACCACAGAATGAGTGGAACTGAAGAAGAAATACTCAATGTATCATGGGAATTCAACAGCAGCCTAGACGTGTTGCAGCGTAACAAAGGGATCCAGCCCCATCTATATGCTTATCAAAAAGGAATGTTTTAATCCTAATCTTAAAAGTAGAGAGCTTGCAGTTTGTCTCCTCAAATCCAAACTGGAAGATGGTTCCACAGAAGATGATGGCTCCCCCCCATTCTACTTTTAAATACTCCAGGAACAACAAGTAAGCCTGCAGTCTGAGAGTGAAGTGCTCTCCTGGGGTCATATGGTACTGTAAGGTCAAGATGGAGCCTAATTATTCAAGACCTTGCATGCGAGGAGCAGGATTCTGAATTTAATTATGGATTTAACTCAAGATGGCGCCGAGTATGGCAGCCTCGTCGCGAGCTCCCCCAAGCAACGGCTTTCTTCTGTGTTTAATTTTACTTTTCCTTTATTTTTTCACGAGCAGCACTTGTCTCCTTGTGTACGACCGACAAACCTTACTGGACATAAAAGACGGTCTTTCTTATAACTTTCCGGAGTTCAAGTTTTGCAACACGGACGCTCCGTTTGCAGACCCCCCATTCATCTCACCTGAGACGCCTTTGTTCTCTGGCCCTGGAGGCCGCAAACGCCGACGCAGAGGGAGAAGATCTGGCGTTCTGGTTCGACTGAGACGGCGCACTAACAGACCACCGTTACCCAGTTTATTACTGGCTAATATGCAGTCTCTGGAGAACAAGTTGTGCGAGCTTCGGGCACGGATCTCATTCCAGCGAGAGATGCGGGACTGCTGCGTGATCTGCCTCACAGAAACCTGACTATCGGACAAAGTACCGGACTCCGCAATACAACTGCCGGGGTTCTCTGTGCACCGCGCGGACAGGTCACAGGATCTTACTGGGAAAAGCAGAGGCGGTGGTGTGTGTTTCATGATCAACAACAGCTGGTGTGATTATGCGAACGTGCACCCGGTCAAATCCTTCTGCTCACCGGACCTGGAGTACCTGATGATTAAGTGCCGGCCATTCTGGCTACCGAGGGAATTTACAGCAGTGATTATTACGGCTGTTTACATTCCCCCACAAGCCGACACTGACCGTGCACTCAGGGAACTGTACAGCGCGATCAGCAGCGAGGAAACCGCACACCCAGAGGCAGCGTTTATCACAGCCGGAGACTTTAATAAGGGAAACCTGAAGAAAGTCTCACCAAAACTCCATCAACACATCCTTTTTAACACACGTGGAAACCGGCTACTCGACCACTGTTACACCTCTTTCCGGGATGCGTACAAAGCCCTCCCCTGCGCCCCATTTGGCCAATCAGATCACTGCTCCATCCTGCTCCTGCCCGCCTACAGGCAGAAGCTGAAACAGGAAGCACCAACCCGGAGGGCGGTGCACTGTTGGACGGACCAATCGGAGTCTGCGCTGCGGGACTGTTTTGATCACGCGGACTGGGAAATGTTTCACGTGGCCGCCAGAGACATTGATGAATACACAGACTCAGTCTGTGGATTTATCAGGAAATGCGTGGAAGATGTCGTCCCATCCAGAACAGTTAAATCCTTCCCAAATCAAAAACCCTGGATTAACGGAGATGTTCGCGCGGCACTGGCGGCACGGAACACCGCCTTTGCCTCCGCGAACACATCGGACTACAAACATGCACATTACCAACTCCGGAAGACGATCAAAGCAGCCAAACATGAGTACAGGGACAGGGTGGAGCAACAGTTTGACAACCCTCGGAGTATGTGGCAGGGACTAAACACGATCACAGACTTTAGAGGGAAAACCAGCACACCGCAGACCACAACCTCTCTGTGTGAGGATCTAAACGTATTCTACGCTAGATTCGACGCAGCGAACACCATGAGACCGGACAGTGTGCGCACCGCGGATGACGTCAATGCGCACACTGTGTCTGAGGAGGATGTGCGGAAGTGCTTCAGGAAGGTGAACGCACGCAAAGCTACTGGTCCGGACGGGATTCCCGGCCGCGTCCTCAAGTCATGCGCGGCTCAGCTGGCTGGAGTGTTCACACACATCTTCAACCTTTCCCTCTCTCTGTCTGTAGTCCCAGCCTGCTTCAAAATGGCCACCATCGTCCCTGTACCCAAATCCTCCACCATCTCCTCATTGAACGACTGGCGACCTGTAGCCCTGACCCCCATCGTGAGCAAATGCTTCGAGAAGCTGGTCAGGGACTTCATCTGCTCTGCACTACCCGACTCACTGGACCCTCTACAGTTTGCATACCGCCACAACAGGTCCACTGATGATGCCATAGCCCTGACACTACACACTGCCCTGTCACACCTGGAGAAGAGAGACACGTATGTGAGAATGCTGTTTGTAGATTACAGCTCAGCATTCAATACCATCGTTCCCTCAAAGCTGGACAGGAAACTGCAGGATCTAGGACTGAGCAGCTCCCTCTGCAGCTGGATCCTTAGCTTTCCTGTCTGACAGACGCCAGGTGGTCAGACTGGGCAGCATCACCTCATCCCCCATCACACTGAACACTGGTGCTCCACAGGGGTGTGTACTGAGCCCTCTCCTGTACTCACTCTACACCTACGACTGCACAGCCACTAACAGCTCCAACATCATTGTGAAGTTTGCGGACGACACTACAGTGGTGGGTCTTATCACCAACGGTGATGAGACAACTTACAGGGAGGAGGTCAGTGCCCTGACCCACTGGTGTCAAGACAACCATCTCACCC